CGGGAGGAGGGGTGCCTGGCGCCCCGCTGCAGGTGCAGGGAGCCCCGAGAGGCTGTCAGGTGGCCCCTCGATGCCGCCTCGCCCCCTGGTCACCCTCACAATTTGCCTTTGACCGCAGGGAACAGGCTCCCGGGACAAGTGGCCATTGTCCACGTGCGAGGCAGGAGCAGGGCGCCTTGGCGGGGTGTCAGCGCCCCCGTGAATGCCCCTCTGTGCGAGGCTGGGCCTGTCGCGCCTGGGAATCGCGCTCCGAAGGAGCAGTGGCCTGTATTTCATGTCCGTTCATCCTCTTTCCCAAAGGGAACTACTGTCCGATTTAAAGAAAACATGCTCAGTAGCTCATTAAAGAAACCTCCAGCCTTCCCACCCTGCCCCCACCCCCCCACGCTGCCTTTTCCTGAAGGGACGGCAACCTCGGATTTAGTTATTTATTTTACATAAACTTTTATTGGTTTCAGAGAGGAAGGGAGAGGGAGAGAGAGAAGAAAGTCAGTGATGAGAGAGCACCAATAATTGGCTGCCTCCTGCACACCCCACACTGGGGATCGAGCCCACATCCCAGGCCTGTGCCCTGACTGGGAATCAAACCCTGACCTCTGGTTCATAGGTTGACGCTCAACCACTGAGCCATACCAGCCGGGCCGAGAATGGGCACCTTCGACGGGGGAAGTGATGGGTAGATACGGGAAGTCCATTTCCTCACGTCTAAAGAACTGTCACCAGGAGCAGGCACAGATGGGCTTGTCTCTCGATAAAGAAATGATGCTTCGTATTTTCACTAACAATTGGATCAGGAGCATGAAGAGTCTAAACTCTAACGCGTGGAGAAAGCATTTTTGAAGGACTGATGAAGCAGGACCTGTGACAGGAGGCATCCATACCGTGTGTTAGGCTAAGTCGTTGGCTTGAGAAAATGTCATGACCAGGAGAGAGCCATTCTCGTGAGACGTGTGAGTGGCTCCCGATGGATAAGCAGCGAAAGGGGGCTGTGGTGATGCTCCGAGAGGCGGCCCTTCGCAGCGGGGCACGGGATGGCTGCGGTGGCGCAGGTGGCAGAGACGGCGGCTTAGAGAGGCGTGTGGGTTAGAGCAGGCGAGGGGTGTGGAGAGGCAGCAGCAGTGCGCTGAGCCGCCTGGGAGCCAGGAACAGACTCGCGGGAATAAAACGAGGTGCTCTGACCTGGACGGAGATGTCGGGGGCTTTAGGAATGGTTTCAAGCCCAGCGTTTAAAAGCAGCCGCCTGCTGGAGACCGGTTACCCCCGGGCAGGAACCTCCACACTGGGCCGCGGAGAGTGCCCGGCCTGTGCCGTGTCCGAGCCGGAGTGAGGGCATGTGGTGCCGACTGAGGTTAAACTCGGGGCAGGGTGTGGTTAGACTTGGTACCGGGTGTGGTTGCCTTTGGTTCTAAGTGGAGTTGCTTTGGTGCTGAGTGAGGTTGGATTCCGTTCTGGGTGTGATTGGGTTTGGTGCTGAGTGAGACTGGATTTGGTGAGGGGTGTGGTTGGATTTGGGGAGTGGTTGGATTTGGTGAGGGGTGTGGTTGGATATGGTAAGGGGAGTGGTTGGATTTGGTAAGGGATGAGGTTGGATTTGGTGAGGGGAGTGGTTGGATTTGGTAAGGGATGAGGTTGGATTTGGTGAGGGGAGTGGTGGCACAGTGCCCCCTGTTGGCCGGTGGGGAGCCTCTGCCTTGACCTCTGAATAACCCTCCTTGATCCCATGTAGGTGGTGGACGGCAGGTGCCACAAAAGCCTCCGAGAGGCACGGCTCGGGGGCCTCCCCAGTTAGTGCTGCCCCCGCCCCCGCCCTACCCTCCTCCCGACACGGACGT